GGGATCCCGGGGAGGGGAGCTCAGACATAGTTCCTCTTGTCGTAGCTGGTGACGGCAGAGCGCGGGGCAGAGTAGGCCACCTTGCTCGTGGGGTACCTGTCCTCTTTGGGGGGGCAGGAGCAGCAGAGCAGGGCCCCCCCCCAGCAGCAGGAGCGTGGAGGCCGCCCAGCCCACGTAGAGCGAGGTGCCCAGCTCCCGCTTCTGCGCGTCGGGCACCAGCGGGTTGTAGAAATCCCGGATGATGGTGTTGGCCGACCAGCACACGGGGATGAGGGTCATGATGCCGGAGAGCAGGAAGATGACGCCGGAGACGATGGTGATCTTGGCCTTGGTGCTCTCATCCTCCACGCAGCGGGTGCACTGGGCGCCCACGATGGCCACCATCAAGCCTATGACAGCCAGGACGATGGACACCACCAGGAGGGCGCGGGCGGCCTGCAGGTCCTGCTGCAGCGCCAGCATGGAGTCGTAGATCTTGCACTGCATCTGCCCCGTGCTCTGCACCACGCAGGTCATCCACAGCCCTTCCCAGTACACCTGGGCCGTCACGATGTTGCTGTTGATGAAGGCCGACACCCTCCACATGGGCAACGCGCAACAGATGATGCTGCACAACCACCCCAGCACCGACAAGGCCACGCCGCCGATCTCCAGCCCCATGGACATGGTGGACGGTTCAGTGTCACGCTCCAAGCGATGGCAAAGAAGAACCCACGGACCAAATCCGTCGCCGTCACCCGCCGCCGCTCGCAGCCCGTGGGGATCGGCTTTCACCTGTGCGCAGCGGCATTTATACGGCCGGCCCGGGGTGGGGTTTCAGTGCTGCCTGCTGGACGCTCCTCTGCGCTCCTCCGTCACCGTCACCTGCGTCCCACACCCTCCCCTTTGTTTGCAGAGATGGCGACGAGTAACCAGAGAAGGGCGGGAGGAGGAGAAACGCCACCTGCCACGGCCATCCCCTTGGTTTCGGGCGGTAGGTATCGGGAAACACAACCACCAGACTCATTCTGACTCTCCAACCCCCTTTCTGGGGACGTGGAAATGCCAAGGGCTCACCTTTCCTCCCTGGAGGTACTGGCGGGTCAGGGTTTGGCTGATTTCTGGAGCGTGTTATCAGTGCTCACGTTTAACTGGGGTTCGGTGAGCACCGTGCAAAGTGCATCACCGCGCAAAGTGCAACCCCTTGGCTGTGCCGTGAGGTTTGTGTCCCCGTTCCAGGGGACCCACGGGTGCTCCTGGCCTGGCAGGAACCGTGGGAGCAGGTTCTACCCCTGCCCAGCCCCCTCCTGCTCCCACCATGCAGGGCCGGGAGCACTCTGAGGGATACTCTGACTGACTGATAATGATCTTTACTCATCCTGCACAAGTCTCGTGGCCTTGAAGGAAGCAGATAATGCACGTAACCACCCCGGCAGCGTCACCCCGACAACCCGAGCTAGCAGTGGCAAAAGAAAAAATATCCCAAGGCATGAGCAATCCCCTCAGACGTGTCAGCCACAGCCCCATGGCTGTGGGGTGCTTGTGTCCCCCCTCAATCTTTGCATGCTGGGGGTAATGCCAGTGTTTCCAGCCCCCCCTCTGCCCAGGAATGTGGTTACTGGACACGGACTTGCTCCTACCTGTTCCCTGCCTGCTCCAAAAATCTCCTCTGCAACTTATTAACTACTCAAGAGCGCGGTGGGATGCTGGCAGCTGGCGCCGTGGAGGGAGCCCTGGGAGGGGGGTGGGAGCCCTGTAACTGCCTGGCTGTATCCCCACAGCACCGTGACACCCCCACAGCCAGGGGGGCCAGATTTGGGTGTCCCACAGCATCCCAATACCCTCTATCTGGGGGGTCACCATCTGTTGATCTGCAGCACACTGAACCCCCACAACCAGTGGGGCCACCCCACAGCACCCTGACACCCCATATCTGTCTGGGCCAGCTGTTGTCAGCCCCTGTCACCCAAGCACCCTGTACCCATCCAGGTTGGCCTCCAGCCCCTTGCAGCCCCCTGTGTCTGACTTTGACCACCCCGTGATACCCCAATACCCCATATCCAGCCAGATTAGCCTCTGGGAAACCATGGCATCCCCAAAATCCCCAGTATCTGGCTAGGTGAGCTTCTGCCACCCCACTGTACCCTGATCACCCCCCCAAGGGGACCCCAAGTCCCCACAGACAGTTGGGGGGGTACCCAGGGGTGACCCCATATGTGCTGCTGGGAGGGAGCCCATGCAAGCAGCACCTCAGGGCTTTGTGCCCTCATTGCTGGGGGTGCTGGGGGTCCTGGTCCTTGGGGGACCCAGTCCATGACCCAGTGCTGCTGGCAGGTGATGGTGGGCACAGGAGGGTGCCAGTGGCAAAAAAGGGGGTCGGGGCTGTTTGAGGGCCCCCCAGGTGTGCAGGCAGGGGTGTGGCAGCGGCCCCGGGGTGCAGGTGTGCGCAGGGGCACACACAGACACACAGACACAGACACACACACCCCCTCTGCCGGCAGAGACACCCCCACACGCAGCCACACACAGACTCACAGACACACAGAGACTCACGGACAGACAGACACACACAGACTCACAGAGACTCACAGTCAGACTCACAGACACAGAGACTGACAGACACACAGACTCACAGCCACACAGACACACAGCCAGACTCACAGGGAGACTCACACAGGCACACACACAGCTGCAACGAAGATGGACACACAGCCAGGCTCACACAAACACACAGCCAGGCTCACACAAACACACAGACTCACAGCCAAACTCAGACACACACACACAGACACACCCAGACACACACATACACAGAGACTCACACAGAGACTCACAGACACGTGGACAAACTCGCACACAGACACACAAACACAGGGACACTGTGACAGAGGTGAACAGGCACACGCTGGCAGTGCAGGTGCTCACACCCTCCCAGCACACACACGGCTGCAGACACACCAGCACATGCACCCACAGCCACACAGACACACGGCTGCAGGGCTCTGGGGCAGAGGGTACCCCAGGCAGGGCTGTGGGGTGAGGGGGTACCCCAGGCAGGGCTGTGGGGTGGGGGGGTACCCCAGGCAGGGCTGTGAGGGTGCCCCAGGCAGGGCTGTGGGGCGGGGGTACCCCAGGCAGGGTTCTGGGGTGCAAATGTACCCCAGGCAGGGCTCTAGGACAGGGTTATACCACAGGCAGGGCTCTGGGGCAGGGTTTTATCCCAGGCAGGGCTCTGGGGCAGGGTTATATCACAGGCAGGGTTGTGAGACTCAGGAGTAGGGGCAGGGTTCTATCACAGGCAGGTCTGTGGGGAAGTGGGGATGCTCCATACAAGGGCATGGGGCAAGGGGGATACCCCAGGTAGAGGTGTGGGGTGGGGGGGATACTCTGTGTAGGGATGTGGGGCAGGGGAGGTACCTCCTACAGGGGTGTGGGGCAATGGGGTCATCCCAGGTAAGGCTGTGGTGCAGGGGGAGAGGTGGATACTCCAGGCAGGTATGTGGGGCAGTGCGGATACCCCTGGGGTAGGAGCTGCTGGGGCAGAGTGGGGTGGGATGAGGCAGCAAAGCACCGCAGCCCCCGACCCTGCAATCAGCCCCACGCGCCGCGTTTTCACACTTTGTCATCCCAAATTGCCAAAGTACAGGCTCTGTCCAGTGTTGTGTCTGCCTGGGGCAGCCACTGACACCTGACTCAGGGTGGGGGAAGGGGAAAATCACCGGGGTTTCAGGGTTCCGGCCACCTCTGGCAGGACACATTCTTGTGGTGAGGAAACTGGATCAATAGTGTTTACCGAAGAGCTGAACGGAGCCAGTGTGCTTGTGGGGCACACCCATCCCTCTTGCTGCATCCCCCTCCCTGTCCCCCGCAGCTGGGGAGGGATGGGGAGTATCCAAGTGCCCCGGGATGAGGACAAAGCGGGGTGGCTACATTTGTGGTCACACAACGGTGACGGTTTGCCCGCTGACGCCAAATGAAGGTCAGACCCCGAAGGTCAGACCCCAAAGATCATGGGAGCATCACCAGATTAGTGGCTCACACTGCGGGAAGGACACCTGGGTGGGCGGGAAGGATGGGGGACGGGGGGTCACCCAGTGCAGCATCCCCTTCCTGCCATGCACCCAGCACCCATCATCGCAGGGGTGAGCAAGAGGTGACGGCAGCAACAGCCCCGGGTGCCTCGGGGCCGCGTCCCACTCACGTGCGCGGCAGCCGGCGCAGGATTTGGGGTGTTTCCCCTCCGCTGCGGTCGGGAGTGCCGCGCGTTCCCCCCCCGGGCGAGCGGGGCCGGGGCGGTAAGTGCTGCCTCGGCCGCTTATATTTCAGGCGCGGGGCTGTTGGCTCGGTGCTGACCAGGGCACACAGGCAACCCATTGTTGGAACCCCTCCGACGCGGCGGCGAGCAGGTAAAGGCGGCTCCGAGCATCAATGGCAGCTCTGTCTGCCGGCGGGGCGGGGAGGGAGGTGCCGGCACACGGGAGGCTGGGGGGCACCGGCCAGCGGGATGTGGCAGGGGGCTCGCCCGGGGGATGCTGGGCCGTGCTGGGATCGGCTTTGCCACAGCATCCCCTTCCTGCGAGCATCGCCTGCTAGGAGACTCCCATTGCACCGCCCGCATCCTCCTTCCTGACCCGTGGTCATCATCTCCCCCATCCCTTCGCCAACTACCTCGGCAGCACTTGGGGGTGTTTTACGTGTCGGGAGCCACTTGTTGCTCAGAAATTGGACAGAGCTTTGACTTCTGGAGTGACTTCAGGGCGAAGGTCCCGTTTCTGCCCGCAGGGACCCCGCAGGTCCCGGCACACGGCTCTTCTCCCGCTGAGCCGATAAGGCTTTGCTTTCCCATAGTGAGAAACAACCTGACTGTGCACATTTGAGCTGGTCAGGGGGGTGGGTTATGTCGGGCAAGGATGTTTTTAGGGAACATTCAGTCTCTGGGCTGCTGGTAACTAATCCCTGGCCGCCTGCTCCATGTGGGCTGAGCGGGAGGGCTGGTGGCCATACCTCGCTCGGCAGATGTGAAGCCAGAGATCCCGGTGGATTGTCTCTTGCTGGCAACTGTCACCTGCCTTTTTGGGACCTTAAAGTAGCTGGGGTGGGAGGTCCATGTGCTGGGGAATGAGGGTCTCTTGGCTCAGTGCAGGGCTGAGCTGGTGCCAGCTGTGTGTGAGGTGGGACTGTCACTTGTGTCCTTGGTGGCCCTTTCTGGCAGGAGATTTGTGCCCCGAGCCTTCTTCCTGCAGGGTGTCCTCTGCCCTGAGCAAGGTCAGGGTGGTGTAGCCTCTGCTGTGCACCCGGTGGTGCCTGGCATCGTGGTGACACTGGGTTTAATGCCACCTCCCTGCCTGGAGATGGCCTAACTACCCAGGGGGCCCTCAAGGCACTGCAGTGTGTCCCCACGCTGGTGAAGCCAGAGCAGGCATTGGAGGGTGTCTCCTGATGGACATGCCCAGGCAGGAGCTCTGCCTTCATTGACCCCTTTAGCGTGGTGGAGCAGGGACAGGAGCTCAGGCTCCCCCATCCTGCAAATCCTGCTGGATTTGGGGCAGGGCATCCGCACCTAGCTGGGTGCTGGGGTGGGTGCTGGGTGGCCAAAGTTCAGGATGGGTTGAACACCCTGTTTTGGGGTGGAGGAGCTCCCTGCTGGGTAGGTGGGCTGTAGTCCCACCAGGATGTATGCCTGTGCCATGGCACTGGGACAAAGCCAGGGACTGGGATTCTGCAAGATGCTTTGGGAGTGGGCATGGAGACACAGCCATGGGGCCAGTGCTCATGTGGGGCTGTTGTCCATGGGGTGGTGGTCCTGGATGGCACATGCTGAGGCGCTCGGTGGTCCCACCTGTGCTGCACCACCATCCTCAGGCTCTGTGGGCACTGGGGGTGGCTCTTGCTCCTCCACTCTGTGCCAAGCCAGTGTCCGTGAGTCCTGCTGGCTGCCAGTGGTGGGGACACAAGGCTGGTGCTGCTGGGCGGGCAGGCACGTCACTGGGAGATGTGGGGAAGGACACAGGGGCTGTCCCTGGATGGCATCCACCAGCTGGAATTATGTCACGTTCCGGCATTAATTACAGTAATTGGCTGTGGGAGGCCGTGCTGGCGCCGGCTCTGGCTCGAGGGGGAATGTGAGCAGCTCAGGTGTTTGATGTTCTGCGCGTGGAGGAGTCCTTGTCCTCACTTTGTCATTTGTCCCCAGCCCACAGACACATCCCCACGTGCCTGCGGGGACACGGCCCATGCCAGGCACACACACACACGTGGGCGTGTCCCTCTCTCCAGCCCCAAATTACGTGGTGGTTACAGCACCCGGCTGGGAGGTGAAAGCCTCAGGCAGAGTCTGGCCCCGGCGGGGATGCTCTGGAACCTCGTAAATTAAAGGGAGCCCTTGACCACAAGGCTCTGGCCCGGGGGTGGCCACACTGGTATGTGAGTAATGTGGGCACTCCAGCAGGACAGAGGGATGGATGGAGGCTGGGCGGCTCCTCTGGCACAGGTCAGGCAGGACCCTGACTCGTCCCCACAGGTTGGAGTCTGCAGCAAGACCTGGATGTCCCCAGACATCCTCCTGGCACTGCAGTGCATGGACCACCTGGCTTTTCCCACCACACTGGGACACGATGCCCGGGGACATCCCGTGCAGCTCTAGAACCCATCACACCGAGCAATTAGCACAAGGGATTGGATCATCTCAGTAACCCCGGTGCTCAGGAAAACTAAGATTATCTCAGTGCCTCTTATCTTTCCTAGGGGCCCAGGATTAAGCTGGGGTGATGAAACAGTGCAATGTCCGTCTGTCTGTCCTTGCTTGCCGTCTGTTGAGCACCTGTGCAGGTGCTGGAGGGGCTTCCAGAGGGAGTAGGGAGGGGACATGTGTGGGAGTCATGGATTAAAAAAGAGGAGAGGTCAGGCAGTGCCCAAAGCATCAGCATCAGTATTGGCATTGGTGTTGGCATTGGTTTTGGCATTGGTGTTGGCATCGGGATCAGTGTGTATGGCACTGGGACACCTTGAGGCCACCTCTGCCTCCCACAGCCCCAAGCCACCAAGCCCCAATCTGCCAAGCAGGCAGCAGGACACGGGCAGACCTGGGGCTGAGGGCAGACCTGGGGCTGAGGGCAGCCCTGTGAACACTGGCTGGTGGTGAAGCACAAGGTGAGGTGGGTTTGGGGTCTGCCCCCCATTTTGCCCCGGGCAGTGCCGTCTCTCCTCCTTGGGGAACCAACAGCTGCTCCAACCGGTTTGTGGGTCTGGGCGGTGACACCTCCTGCCCGAGGCCTGATGGAGGGCTGGGAAGTGCTGGTATGGATGCCAAGGAGCAAACAAGAGCCGCTTGTGTCCTGCTGGGCATGGAGCCCGGCAGCGGGGGGGACGGTGTGCTGCTCTCCCGGCACGGGGCCGTGGGGGGCCACAGACTGGGCTGCTGCTGGAGCAGTGACCATGAGCTGGGGGCAAACTGAGGCACGAAAACATGGAGGAACCCATCCAGGTGATGGAACAGAAGGTACTGGCAGTGATGGCAGAGACATCCCGGTGCCTGGACACCGGCTCTTCCCCTTCAGCATCCCAGGCTGAGCCCCAGCGCTGCCCTTGGCACTGCCTACCCACAGACAGCAGTGGGACGCACTCCTGCACCTGGGTGGCCTGATCCCGGTCCCCTGCGTCCTCCTCCGTGGGAGCAACCGGGATATTAAGTGTCAGCGCTGGAGGGAGAAATACAAGAGGAGGAATCCCGGGAAACTGGTTTTACCCCTCCGTCCGGTGCCGGCGGCAGGACGGCGGCTGTGGCGGCGCTCCTCCCTCGGCAAAGGCATATAATGCCTGCCATGGTCCCGGGAGCCGGCACTGCACGGCGGGAGGCGGGCAGGGGTGCCGGGAGCAAGCCATGGCCTCCATGGGCATGCAGGTGCTGGGCATCGCCCTCTCCGTCATCGGCTGGTTGGCCTCCATCCTCTGCTGCGCGCTGCCCATGTGGCGGGAGACGGCCTTCGTGGGGAACAACATCGTGGTGGCCCAGATCATCTGGGAAGGGCTGTGGATGAGCTGCGTGGTGCAGAGCACGGGGCAGATGCAGTGCAAGGTCTACGACTCGCTGCTGGGCCTGCCCCAGGACCTGCAAGCCGCCCGTGCCATGGTGGTGGTGGCCATCGTCCTGGCCATCCTGGGCACCCTGCTTGCCGTTGCCGGCGGCAAGTGCACCAACTGCGTGGAGGACGACACCGCCAAAGCCAGGGTCATGATTCTCTCAGGCATCATCTTCATCGTGGCCGGCGTCCTCGTCCTCGTCCCCATCTCTTGGTCAGCCAACAGCATCGTCCAGGACTTCTACAACCCGCTGGTCGCCGACTCCCAGAAGCGGGACCTGGGCTCGTCCCTCTACATTGGCTGGGCCGCCTCTGCTCTGCTGCTGCTGGGGGGGGGGATCCTGTGCTGCACCTGCCCCCCCCCGGGGGGAGAAGCCCTACTCTGCCAAGTTCACGGCCGCCCGTTCGCTGCCAGCCAGCAACTACGTGTAGGAGCCGCCGCTCCCGCCTGGACCCCCCGGCCACCGCAGGGAGCTGGGACCTCCCGGACCCTCGACCCGCCCCCCCGGCCGGGCTGGGGCTGGCCGGGCGCCGGGGCAGTGCGAGGGAGGGCAGACAGAGCTGCCTTTGTTCTGCCTGGATTGGAGCCGGTTCTTTAATCTCGGTTGAGACAGGGAACAAGGAGATCCTGTCCTGGCTGCCCGCGGCGGGGGTCCTGTTCCCCCCCTCCCGGAGCATCCAGCGGAGGCATCTTCTCTGAGACGGCACCCGATCCCCCCCTCGAGCATCTCCTGGCTCTCGGTATCGGGGTGTGCCATGTGGTGACAGAGTTCCCAGAGCCCGTCCCTCGGGTGGCACGGGGCTCTCACCGGGTGAAGCTCCCTGGGATTGTCAGTCCCTCGGGCTGGGTGACGGTGTCGGTGCTGGTGGGGACAGCGAACTTGTCCCACGTGGTCATGGGGACGTGGTGGCTCTGCGGACCCTGGCAGGGTGTCGAGGGTTATCAGGGGCTTTCACCTGCCTGTACCCTAAATTTTGACTATGACCTACTTTCGGGGCTCGGAGTGGCCGTACAGAGTGTGATTTCTCGCGGCAGCTCCCCAGGGCGGGGGCATCATTATCCTGGGAGTGGGAAGGCAGCAGCCGGGCTGGGAGAACCGGTCGGGGAGGCGGGAGCCGAGCGGGGCCGTGCACCCGCATGGAGGGGGGCGCCTCTCGGACCCGACCCCATCCATCGCCCCGCTCGACATCCCCCGAGCGGGGTGCCCGGGGGCGGGAGAGGGTGGCTCTCGGTCCCCCTCGCTGTGCTGCCGTCCGGCCCCGCATCCATCCTTCCCGCATTAAACGGCAGCTGCTCAGACCCCGCTGTGCCTCTTGTTCTTTACCCTCTCCAACACCGGCTAGCGGGACAGCCCGGTGCTCCTGTGCCGCGGATCCCCATTCTTTTGAGATCCCCCAAATCTTCTCTCCGGAGCTTCCTGCGACCCCCGCCCACCCTGTTCCAACCCTGGCATTCCCCGCCTCTCCCTCCCCGGGCCACCCCGGGGGTGACAGCGGGTGTCTCCATGGCACAGTGCCTTGGTGGCGCCAGGGCTGTCCCACGCCTGTGTGACCTTCCCACCCGAGCAGGAGGAAGGCGGCGGGCGCCGGCGAGGGCGAGTCGGGGCACGCTGGCCCCGGGGCCACCCCACAACCGCGGCTGGGAGCACCCCGGGGCCGGCGTGGGCAGCGCAGGGTGCTTTGCCTATCTCGCTTCCAGCACTGCCAGTGCTCCGTGCGCTTGGGAACATCCTTTCCTCCCGCCTCGGCGGTGTGGGGGACGAGAGCTGACTCTGGCTGCCTGGCGCTGGGTGTCTCATCTGGGTCTGGGGGCTTGAGGACTCCCAGCTCTCCCATCCCTTCACTGGGAATGGTGGAAAATATTGCTGTGGCCCTGTGGTGGCAGTGGCCAGGTGGAACTGTGAGTGTGATGCTCTGGCAAACATCCCTGCTGTCCCTCAGTATCCGTGGGGGCACCGCTTTTTCCTGGGGGCCCACTGCTCATCCCTGTGTGGGTGGTCATGCACCTTGTTTTGGGTGTCTCTTGTGGCCCAGGTCCTGCTGGCTGGGAAAGGGTGCCTGGGATGGCCCCCATCATTGTTTTTGGCCCAAAGGGTCTTTCATGGCCCAAGGTCCCAGTGCTGGGTGTCCATCAGGCCACCGAGGGATGAAAGGTGCCGGGGAAGGAATGGGAACACAACGGGAAAGGAGAGGCTGGAGAAATCGAAACTGGGGTAGGAGAAATGATGGTGAAACCTCCGGCAAGTGCCGCAGGGTGTGCCGGGCACAACCGATACCCCGCTGAGCTCGGGGCCATAAAAACTCAGCCAGTCCCGGCTGCCGGGCACAGGCACCCGGGGGTGAACTCTGCTCCGTGCCGGGCTGAGCTGGTTTGGGCTGAGCCAGGGCCATGGCAGCCACGTGTGACTATGGCGGAGCTGTTTGTGTGTCTGGTGTGTGCCTATAACAGCCACTCCTCTGCCAGGGGTGATGTCTGTGGTGACCCTGTAGCCCCTCGCCAGGGTTTGCCCTGTCGGGGCTGCTCCCGGGGCCAAGAGCCGATATCACTGAAAGAGCTGCCCTCCAGAGCTGGGATTGGAGCAGAGCTGAGCTCTGACCCATTCCCAGCACTCCAGAGAGGAAATCCCCGGTCCAAAGGGCACTGCAGCAACCTGCACTCCATCCAGGAGCAGCCAGTGCTGCGGGGAGGGGGGTCTGCCTGCCCTTCCCATGCCCCCCAGCGCAATGCTCATGGCCAAAGAGGCTGAAGCACCAGCGGTGGAGCAGGGCATGGGGCGGGCACTGGGGGGTTGCTGCCACAGCAGGACATGGGGTGAGTGTGGGGTGGGGGATCTGCACTCTGGAGCATGGCAGGGCACTGTGAGCCCCCCATCCTGCTTCCCAAAAGCCGTCTCCTCCCTGACACTTGCCATGCACCAAGAAGGGGTGATGACAGAGGCTGCCCTGTGCTCTGTCAGGGGACATTGCAGGGGACAGTGTGACACACAAGGGCCCCTGCACATCGGCCTGCTCAGGGCCTGGGTCCTCAGTGGCACCTGTGTGCCCCATGCTGTCCTGCAGCAATGCTGCATGTCACTCATGTCTCCATGTCCCCATGTTGTCCTGCAGTAGTGCTCCATGTCACTCTTGTATCCATGTCACTCGTGTCCCAATGCTGTCCTGCAGCAGTCCCGTGCCACACATGTCCCCATGTCGCTTGTGTCCCTATGTTGATCTTCAGCACTGCCCCATGTCACTCATGTCCCCATATCCCTTGGGTGCCCACACTGTCCTGCAGCTGTTCCCACCCCGATGGGGAGCAGGACACAGCAGATGAAGCCCGTGCTCTCCAGCAACCCCCTGGCTTGGGGCCGTGTCCATGACAGCTGTGCCCTGTCCCCGCAGGTACTGACCATGGAAACAATGTCGAGGCAGACGAGTGCGCTGGTGACAGCCGTCGTGGGCTGGGTGGCCACTATCCTCACCTGTGCCCTGCCCATGTGGAGGGTGACAAACTGCCTCGGCTCCAACTCCATAGGGTCCCAGTCGTACTCGGATGGGCTGTGGGTGACCTGTGCCAACGACGGCACAGCGCAGTCTCAGTGCAGGTACTACAGCTCCCTGCTGGAGATCACCCCCGACCTGCAAGTTGCCCGTGTCCTGGTGGTCGCCGCCCTCATCACAACCTTCGCCGGCATCCTCATCGCCCTCGCGCGTGGAGCCTTCTCCAGCTGCATGGGCGGCGGCGGCAACAAGGGCGCGTACATCTCCGTGACAGGAGCCTTGTTCGTCGCCTCCGCCGTCCTGCTCCTCGTCGCCGTCTCCTGGACTACCAGCAACATCGTCAACAACTCCTACACCCCCACGGGGCCCGAGGCCGTCAGTAGAGAGGTGGGGGCTGCCATCTACATCGGCTTCATCGCCACTGCCCTCTTGCTCGCCGGTGGGATTGCCCTGTCCCGCTTGGGAACCCAATACCCGCAGGATTCCTACGCCAAGAATTACAGAGGGGTGAAAACCTGCGATTCAACAGGCTACCCCATGAAGGACTACGTGTGAGCCCTTGTGCCCAGGTGCCAGACCAAGAGAGAGCACCACTGTCCCTGCCCTGCCTCCCTGTGCCACCCCATCCCCACCCCATCCCCATCCCTGTCCCATCTCCATCCCCATCCCTGTCCCATCCCCATCTCCATCCCTATCCCTATCCCCATCCCCATTCCCATGCTGGCTGCACCCCAGCATGATCCTCCAACATGTGCCCTTCCCCAGAGCAGGGACTATAAATAACCTGGTGCCACCGAGGCTGCCTGGGCTCATTCTGAACGGCGCGGTGTGGGGAGGAGGGTGATATATCCTGGGGGTGCTGTGCCCTGCCAGCCTGATGCCAGGTCAAGGCTGCTGCCTCAGTGCCTGGCATGTCCCCATGTCCTCATGGGGAAGCAGCAGGAGCCAGCCAGGGTGCTCCTGGGGTATCCCTCAGCAGGGAAACTGAGGCAGGGAGAGGATGCTGAGAGCTAAGAGGGGCACAAGGGGGGACACCAGGTCCTCTGAGCCTCCAGAGAAAGGCCCAATCCCCACTCCCAGCCTCCTGGCCACCCACCCCAGAGGGTCCACAGCCCCATTGCTCCAGGAACAACACACAGCAGGCAGACAGCGGAGACGGGGATTTATTGAACAGCCAAGTGCAGGGCTGGGGACAGCCACGACCCCCAACTGCCCAGGGGACAGTGCTGGGGACAAACGGGGGGAGAGGGTGGTAGGGCAGCTACCCATGATGGGCACAGGGACCCCAAGACCTGGGGGGACAATGTGGAAGGATGGCAGGAGTCACGGGGAGGGTGAGTGTTGGAGATATAGGATACTCTGAGTGGGGGACAGGGACAGACACAGCCACTGCCTCCCACCTGGGAAACACTCCCAAGGGGAAAGAAGTAACCTGTTCCCAAGGACCATGGGAACAGGATGAGCAGGAACAGGTCTGGGGGAGGAGAAAAGGGAAAAAACCCTCAAATATTCCAGCAAGAGATTTGGGTAAAGAACTTCCCAAGGGATCAGTGGAGAAGGAATTGTGTAGGTAGCACAGCAAGGGGCTGGGGGAACAGGCTGGGCAGGCAGTGCTGGGTGACTCCTGGGTGGGGAGCAGCCACCAGCTCCCCAAGTTCCTTCCAAACTCATTTCCCACACAGACCATTAACTACAAAGCTCTGGGAAAATGAGAGATTTCAGCAGCTGCTGTGGGATGAAAGGTGGATGTGGTGCTTGGAAGCCTTTCCAGCTGGGTGTCACCTTGGCACTGCTGCTCCTGCTCTGGATGTGGAGGTCTCCTGCACCTCAGTGTGCACTGGGTTAACCCCTGGGGAGGATGAGGATGGGAGGCTGCAGGACACAGTGATGGGGACGCACCTCCAGCACTTCCCAGGTAAAGCCCAGGGGGGTGGGAGTGGAAGATGAAGAAGGATCCAGATTTTGACCATGAGCACCAAAGTGGGCACAGTGAGAAGACATCCTGGACAGGAGATGGCTCTGAACAGCCATGTGGGTCTGCAAAATGTCATGGTGAGGGTTGAGGTGTTGGGGACAATACTTGAATGTCAGAGCTAATGGTGGTGCCCGGGAGACCCTGGTGAGACCAGAAGAGCCTCCCCATGCTGAGGCCCAGACCTCGGGAGAAGGACATAGGGAAGGGAATGGGGACACGCCCAAAATGTTGTCCCCCCCCAGCAGCTGCCCTACTCCAGGGAGGGGGTCACTGGGATGAGTTTTATACAGGGGGCCAAGTGCTTATCCCTCTCCAGAGCTGTGCCAGCTCAGTCCTCCTCGAGGCGGGGCACAGGGCATTTCTGGTAGAGGTAGACCACTCCAGAGATGTAGCCGGTGCCCCGGGTGCTCTCCTCCTCCGAGGTGGCCCTCTCCCAGTGCTCCACCTCCTGGGCCAGCAGCTTCTGCCAAGCTCCACAGCGCTCCAGCTTCCCCAGCTCTGCCTCCAGCTCCCGCTTGTACCGCAGGTTCGAGGGGTTGCTCCTCGTCGTCAGGCACAGGAAGCCTCCTGTGGGACAGGGTACGGGTGACACTGACACTGGGTGTCCCTCCCTGGGGGTGGCAGCCCCTCGGAAAGGGTGGGGGGCAAGGGGAGGCAGTGAGAGCCTGCCAGGAATCAGTGGGCAGGGGACAGGCAGGACAGAGGGCAGGGGACAGGCAGGGCAGGGGACAGGCAGGGCAGGGGACGGGCAGGGCACTGGGCAGGGAATGGGCAGGGCAGGAGGGCAGTGGGCAAGGGATATACTGTCCAGTGGGCAGGGGATGGGCAAGGGACAGGCAGGACAGTAGGCAGGGGATGGGCAGGGCACGGGCAGGGCACAGACAGGGCATGGGCAGGGCAGGATGGCAGTGGGCAGGGGATGGGCAGGACAGCGGGCAGAACACGGGAAGGTCAGGAAGGCAGTGGGCACGGGGCGGGCAGGACGTCACGCCTGAGCACAGGCTGTCACGCACCAGCAGTGCCACCGCCACCTCCTGCCTCGTCCCATCGCCCGGACCTGCCAGCGAGCAGAGTCAGGGACCCCGGGCCATCACCATCCCTGGCCCCAGGGACAAAGCCACACCCCATCTGTGACACGGGACCAGCGCCCAGACGGAGATCCACATCCACCGGGGCTCCGTGTCCCCATCCCACCACCGCGGTCCCGCCGGGGAGGGGACACCGAGACCCCCCTTACCCGGCTTGGTGACACGCAGCAGCTCCGGCAGCACCGTGGTCGGCACCTGCCCCTCGCCCAGAGCCCCCACCACCGTCACGGCATCGTACTGCTCTGCGGGGACACGGGGGTGTCATCGAGGGGTCCTCTCGGGGCTCCCCCAGCCCAGTGCCGGCCCGTTACCTGCGGACAGGGTGTCACCGGGGGTCTCCCAGGGCTCCCTCCACCCAGTGACACCCCGCTATCTGCGGGCAGAGACACGAGGGACATCACCGAGGAGTCCTCCCGGGTCTCCCCCCGCCCGGTGCCGCCCCGTTACCTGCGGGCCCGGGCAGCGGCTCCTGGCCCAGGACACACTGCCGCAGCTCCTGGTAGAGCCCGGTGCTCCGCGCCCGCTCCAGCATCCCCGCGCTGCCGTCCACGCCGTGCAGGCAGCGGAACCCGCGGCGGTGGAGCTGCGGGGGCAGACGGGCGTTATCCCTCATCCCAATTCCATCCCATCCCATCCCACCCCGTTCCCCCCGGTACCTCCCGCGCCACGAGCCCGGTGCCACAGGCCACGTCGAGCAGCCGCGCCCCGGCGGGGGCAGCGGGGAAGGCGAAGGCGAGCGAGGCGGCGGCGAGATGCGGTGCGCGGTACTCCAGGGTCGCCACATCCTGCGGGGACACGGCGGTGAGCGCGGACAGCCCCAGCCACCTCCTCCGGTGCCCCGCTGTCCCCGCTGTCCCGGGTACCTGGTCGTAGTCGGTGGCCCAGCCGTCGTACAGCCGGAGCCGCTCGGGCAGCGCCGAGCCCCCGTGAACCGCCGCCACCCGCTCCCGCACCCCCGACGGCAGCACCATCCCGGGGCACCGGGGACACCGGGAACCGCCGCGACCCTCGGACCCGCCACCGGGGACACGCCCCCGGCACCGGGGACGCCCCTCGTGACCAGGACACGCCCCCCAACATCGGGACACGCCCCCGACACTGGGGACACGACCCCCGAAACCGGGGACACCCCTCGTGACCAGGACACGCCTCCCGCACCGGGACACGATCCCGGCACCGGGGACACGACCCCCGAAATCGGGACACGCCCCTGGCACTGGGACACGCCCCCCGCACCGGGACACGCCCCCCGCACGGGGGACACGCCCCCCGTACTGGGGACACGCCCCCCGTACTGGGGGCACGACCCCCGCTCCCCTTTGGCTCAGTGACCCAGCTCAGGACACGGCCCCAGCACCTCGGAAGTGACCAAGTGTCCTGGGATGGTGACACCAAGTGACCTGGCAAGTGACCAAGTACCCAGGGACGGTGACACAAAATGCCCTGGGGGGCGTGACACCACATGCCCACAGGGGGTGGCACCAGGAGCCCCAGGGCCACCACTGCAGTGTCCCCTGTCTCTGCTGCTCTGTCCCGTGTAGGGGTCAGTCCCCACCCTGTCACTGGCGTCCACGGTAAGGGGACAGTCCACCGGACAGGTCACCTCCCTCCCGGCCCCCTGTCCCAGCCCCGCAGGGCCTCGATGCCGCGCTGTCACCTCCGTCCCTGCACCCGCGTCTTCTTCCTGCGCTCCGACATGTCACCCAACGAGTGGGGACACCGGCCACCGACCCCTCCTGTCCCACCGCCTGTGACAGGGACATCCCAGCGCTGAGCGGCTCTCCCGGACCCCGCGGAGGGCACACCCACCACCGGGGCAGGTCCTTCCCCACGGGCTGGGGGTCATTCTGTGCTGCCCCTTGGGGACAGAGAACAGGACCGTGGACCCTCGGGGCCGGGAAGGAGGAGGAGGAGCATCTTGGCTCCGGCGGGGAGCAGGAGGTGGACTTGATCCTTATTGGGTCCCTTCCAAACTGATGAGTCCTGAGTGTATTTTCTACATGAAGTTTGGGTTTTGCTCAGGACAAGAAGCAGCCCTGAGAGCCAACACGATGCACGGGGAGGTGGGTAGGGTGTCTCCTCCACATCATCCCTCTCTGGAATGCCTGGTCCAGGTGCCCAGAACTTGTAATGCACCGAGACGCTCGTTATCTCTTGGAAGTGCCCCATGGGAGGTCACCGGGCAGTCTCCGCCGCGCTGGGAGCGACTCGTCCTCTGCTAAACCAACCTTTGGTGTCGTAGCGAGGACGTGGCATGTGAGACAAGCCACAGCTGTGCCCCATCGCCTCGGGCCGTTTCCAGCGGTGAAGGGGACGGATCCAGCCGCTAATTAATGACTGGAAGAAATTGCAGTGCCCTGATGGAGCCCCGAGGCCGCGCTGGTGGCCGCATCCCCTCCTCGCTGCGGCTCCTCCGTGGTCCCCGTGTCCCCCTCTCCCCTGCCCTCCAGGTCCCCGTGGGGCCCTGCCCGCGGCCCCGCGTGGGCTCAGCT